TCCTGTGCCTGGTGCAGCAGCTGACTGAAGGGCGGGGGCCGGAGGCGGAGCTGAAGTACAAAGAGCTGAGCAGCTGGTGTGTGGAACAGATCCTACAACATGTCCAGGTGCGTTCAGGTAACACACGTCTTTTTCTGTATGGTTAGCGCGACCCTGCCAGGGTGCCACAGGGGTGTTCAGGTAACACACATCTAAATCAAACGTATCTTAAGGTCAAGTCGGTAAGTTAGGCATTTAATTCTTTCCAGAGTTTCCAAGTTTTTGTTCCAACCTGAGCATTCATTTACATTTTCCAACTTGGAAACTTGTTTTTCCGATGTGTAGAACAACACATGAAGACATTACAAACAAACATTAAATACACAGACAATCAGAGGAGAACGAGACGCAGGCGAGAACTATCAGGGTGAGGCGGGAAAACATGAGGAGCTACAAAATAAAACAGGAACTGACAATAATACTGAAATCATTTGACAAAACAAGAATCGACCTGTGACAGGCTGAGTCACAAAACTCCTGAAAATGTCCTAAAATCTTTAGGGCGAGCTGCATGTGTGACCACGAACTGCCAAATTCCCGCCCAAATGAAGTGAATTGTTTCCGGTGTCTTCTGTGATCAAAGATTCTGAATATAAAACTTTCGTCTTCTGTAACTCGACACAGAGAGACGGGACGGCTATCTTAGAGAACGTATCGGTGGAGGGAGGAGAGATACCGGGCTGCCAGGGCCGCCTGCAGAACCCAGGTACACACACACACACACACACTGACACACACACACACACACACTGACACACACACACACACACACACACACACACACACACAGGGGAGGCTTGTTTTCTTTTTCCTGTTCATGATGCCTACCTCGACGTTTCCCCTCTTCCCTCCGGTCTCGCTCTCACACTGACTCAGGCCACGCTCTGGAGGCCGGCTGGTTCCTGCTGCAGGTCAGCGCACAGCAAGGGGATGGCGAGCTCCAGCAGACCGCCATCAACAAGTTCGTGGAGCTTCCTTATGAGTGCGGCTGGGATAAAGAGCACGGAGGCCTCTTGTACTTCCTGGATGTGGACGGTCACTGCCCCACGCAGGTGAGAACTCACCGTGTTTAGATACTAAGACTGAGACAGGAGCTACTGTCCGTCATGATACCAGAGTGTTTATCTTGTGAAAATCAAACAATCAGGATTTCTGTTTCCACATCACAGCAACACAAATAGAAGCCCTGGGCATCCAGTGTCGGGTCATTTCTGTTGTTATTTTATTTTATTTTATTTTATTTTATTTTACTTTATTTTACTTTATTTTATTTTATTTTATTTTATTTTATTTTTTTATTTTTTTATTTTTTTTAAGATTTTATTTTTTAAAGATTTATTTTATTTTTTGTGTTGAGACTCATGTCTCAAGCGGTAGGCCCCGGTTCGTTTCCACCCGTGGCCTCTTTCCGCATGTCATTCCCCGCTCTCTCTCCCTGGTTTCCGACTCTATCCACTGTCCTATCTCTGCATTAAAGGCACGCAAAAGCCCAAAAAAGAAATCTTTAAAAATATTTCATGACTCAAAATCTGAAGTTTGTTAAGCTTAGCTACGACTTAATTGATCCTTGAGTAAAAGTAACAAAGTCTGGAACATTTTGAAATCCTTAAGCAGACTGCAGTGTGATATATCCCTGGTGTGTTTTCTTGCTCAGTTGGAGTGGAGCATGAAGCTGTGGTGGCCTCACTGTGAAGCTCTCATCGCCTTCCTGATGGCCTACAAACAAACCAAGAGGCCGGAGCTGCTCCAGAGATTCTCTCAACTTTATGAATACACCTTCAGTCACGTGAGTTTCTGTTTCATCTCATTTGTTTTTTCTTGTGTGATGGGCCACAGTTAGAGCACAGAGCTGACAGCGAGCACTCTGGGTAATAATCGTAGATGTTTTTGCAGCGTGCTTCAGAAACACGTCTCTGCTCCTTTGAAAACACACATTTGATCTGTTCTTCTCTGACTGTGTTGCAGTTTCCTGATCCTGAGGGGGGCGAGTGGTTTGGATATTTGACACAAGCAGGGAAAGTAGCTCTGGATTTCAAAGGAGGCCCCTTTAAAGGTAAGAACTCACCTGATCTACATGAAGGATTCACTGAATCATCTCAGGGTGTTTCAGTCCGTTTTGATCGTTATAATTTAACAGGAACAGAGATCTTTAATAAACCGAGATTCAGAACCAAATCGAGGGAACGTTGTTTTACTGTAAAAGGAAAAATTTCCTTTTACAGTAATCAAAATCCAACATGATATTTAAAAGAAAAATTAAAGCCAGTTTGTTGAATAAATATGAGGAAATATGTCAATGAGATGTACTGTTCTGTTTCGTGATGCTGTCACAAAAATGTGTTGTGACATGCTTTGTACGGTGTAAAATGAATTGTTAACGAGGACCTATGATGGGCTGCCAGTGGCTGTGTTTGCATGCTGCCAATTTATTTTTATTTTTATTGTTTTTGAATTAAGTGGTTTTAAAAAAAAATAATTAATCCTTTGTGAAAGAGGGGCAGATATTATAAGATTATTCTTCTTTCTGCTCCTTTTCATTCAAAATTTGAGATTTTATGTTCGTTTGTTTTTCTTAACTTTATTGTTTGTTTGAATGAAATAAATAAGATAAATAAATCATGAAGACATGTCTTTGTAAAAATCAAACGAGAGCGAGATTTATGTGAACAAGCAGACACGGTCGCTTTATATTTTATTATTTTTTGCTGTGCTGCTTGTCCTTTTATTAGGATGATATATAAACAAATAAAACAACCAACGAGTTCATTAACTTATTAATGAGGAGAGGAACACAGGTTAGCCTACACCTGGTGTGGTTTTTAGCTCCCTCTCTTCAGCCTTCATAACAGTTGTGTTTTTGACTTTCTGCCTGTGGGTCTAAAATCTGTGATGGTCTCCTCTCCTTCAGGTCTCTTTCACGTCCCTCGCTGCCTCTACATGTGTGAGCGTCTTCTGGATGAGCTGCTGGCTAACGACGAGTGACGCTCTGACATGGAGGTTATAAAAATAATGATCTCATCTGAATCTGTTCCATGGGTAAAAAAAGCATAATTGCACTAATTCTCAAACATTCATTCACTGGGAGACGTTTGTTAAAAGCGACATTACACCATCAAACTGTCCGTCAGTGGCTCTCTGTATCATGTAATCTTTGTGAGTCTTATTTTTTTTTTATCTTTGCGCTCACCTGACGTCCTGCTCGTTGACTGAAAGTTCAAATTAGAAGAGACAAGACACAAGAGACGTAAGCCATTTTCACATCTGCACTCCTGGAAATGTCTAGAGTATTTCTCTCCTGATGTTTGTTCACACATGCACCTCACAACAGGAGACTAACCCTGTCCGATGGGCGTGGGTGAGGGGGGTGGGGGTGGGGGTGGGGGTTACCTAAGGCTGGACATAAAGCTGGAGGAGAAACTCTGGGTGAAGTCAGAGAGAAACATTCAGCTGTTTATGTTCATGCAGCTCCTCCTGAAAACTTCAGGAGTTTTTCAGGAGTTTTGTGCAGGTGTGAAGAAGGCTTTAGAATATCCTCATATAAGAGTCCTTAATCAGAGGTGATAAATATTCTATCTCTTGTCAGTTTAGATTTCCTGCTTTATTTGGCCGGGTGTCTGTGAACGATTAAAGGAGACCCTGACAGACAAAAGGAGAATCTACAAACTCCACACACACACAAACTATTTAACACGCATTGAGAACTGAGGGACTTTGTTGTTGTGAGGTGATCGGTTCAATTCCCAAAGCGCTCTCCTTTGCTCTCTCACTACAAAAAGGAAGCAAATGTTTTCTTGTTTTATATCTCAATGTGCCTTTAAGCAGCACCCTGAGCCTTTTAAAGAGCGTGGATCTTCACATCCGATGCATTCCATTTTGTTATTTGCTATCAAAGGGAAAAATTAAAGCTGCTTAGTGTTCATGATGCTTGGCATGTGCAGACTTAAGTGCAGCGTACGTTGTACGCTTGTATAGAATAGTGATCGGCTGTCGTGCCTCAGTACACACTGCGCGGCTAACAACGCACAATCAAGCCAAAATTCAGCCTGAATGCAAATCTGTTGTACGACCTTGGCTGGAATCGTACAGTGACCGCCCGGCTTTAGTGACATGCTTGGCATGTGCAGACTAACATTACAGTAGATTTTATTAATGCTTTCTTATATTATAGCTGATAGTACGTGTAATGTGATGATAACAATTGTTTTATGATTTATTTTGTCATTAAACAATCAAGTATATATAAATATGTCAGATAATCAAAATACTTTTTAACCCTCTTGTAAAGCTGCAGCTTCCAGAAGCAGAATTTGACTAATAAAACATATTATCGAACTGTTTGACTCTCTGTGTGATATTTGTTCCTCTGGGTTATCTCAAACAATGTTTCTGATATTATTTGGTTTATTTAATTAATGTATTATAACAAATTAAATCGTGGCCATGCAGAGGCTTATTCTCACATGAACTAAATAAATGATATCAAGGAGGTGTTGTGGTGCCATGTGAAGGTCGGCTTTAACTTTAAGTCGCCACCAGGGGTCACTGTTGTTTGAGTTTGAAGCTCGAGGCTACACTCTAGAGCTGCTCAAGTGGAAGAAAGGTCCAGAAAGAAACACGGCTTCACCTGCTCATCACTACGACGACAACACACCTCTAATATATTATCTGTTCAGTCTTTGTCGTCTCGAGGGAGAAAAGAGAAATGAAACAAAAACACTCCAGAGCGGATACGGAAATTGATGTATTTGAGCGGAAGTTGGCGGAGAAGGAGCGTTCAAGAGCGTCACGGTTTGTAAACGCTTCAAACGTGTAAATGTCTGCTGTAAAAAAACGGGCTGTTTTGAATGGGTATGTATGTGACTTCCGGTGAGTCTGCAGCCAGCCTCTAGCGGACCCTCGACGAACTGCAGGATCGTTCCCTTCAGCATCAGTTTCTCTTTTCAACACCGGATGTTGCTGCTTGTCTTGGACGCAGCCTGTGGAACAAACCGGATGTTTTCTGAACAGAAACGGAAGCGGAGAGTTTGAGCGCCGGAGCTTTTTATCTATTTTTAAATATTTGTGCGAATGAAAAACTGGTTATTTAACGGAGGAGGGATCAGGGAGATGCAGCCTCTCGTTATACGTACAGGACGTGAAACGCGGAAATAAGTTACGTAATATGACGTAAACGGCGACTCTTCCCGTGCACAGTTAGCATGTTCATTATTATTATTCTGTAACACGTTTCATCGTCTTTACGTTTCTCACGGAAGATGTTTCCAGCAGCTAAAGAGCAGGAGGCTGTTAGCAGGTATGAAGAGTCTTAATATATACATCAGTAATGTTTGAGATGTTAGACTGAGCCAATCAAAAGCCTGTACTTTATAAAAGTGACTGAATATCCTCATTTTAAACTGAGGACGTAGAAATGATCAAACTTCTGTTTGTACATCATCAACTGTCAGGGCCGTATTTATTTATTTAGAGTACAAAGGGCAAACACAGGACCCCCAAATCCCCCCTTTAACAAGAAATATTGTGTTCCTTTATTCAGTTTAAAGTGTGTAAAATCTGCCACCAGGGGGCTGTCAATCAAATCAATAAGAGAAGATGACGCAGAGGCTGGCGGGGAATCATGGGAGTGTTGACCGTAGTCATGACGACCGGGCGAAACCCAGAGAAAGTGTTTACTAACGAGCTAATCGGAGTATAATTTACGTGACGTTTTTTATCACAGCAGAACAAACAGCAACAGAACAGCAGCTTTCTGTAGCAACTCTGCGTGTTTCCACGGCAACAATAAACATTTTGTGTCTGTCATGGCGGCTGCCGCGAAGACACGTCCCGTTGCAACTTTAAAATGAAGGAGTTCTCTGTCTTTGATAACTGTTTGAAATATTTGAGGTATTTTAAGTACTCTTTTCAAAAAAAAAAATATATATAACAATATTATTATATTAATTATTATAATAGTATTAGTACTAATATTATTATTATTATTTTAATGTAAACATTGTCTTTATTCGTGGTTATTTAAAGGTGTAATGTGTAGAATTTTTTGCACTATAATATCTGAATAAATTACAATTTTACTAAACCTGTTTTATGTTGTTGTCGAGTTCTTACATTACCTCAAATAAATCCAACAGTTCTCAAAGACAGACTTTAAATGTCTTGTTGCAGCGGCCGCCATGACAGACATGACGTGTTTATTGTTAAAAGGTTTTTTATTAAACTCTTATTCAGTGAACGTCTCACCCTCCTTGTGGGGAATGTAGCGCCCTCTATTGACCAACAGCCACACTCGTATCGAAGTATCAACAATTTTGACCATCTTGTGCTTGATGGAAACATGTTGATAAATGTATATTCATGTTAACTGATCTTACATATTTCTGTGTTCTCTGTGTTGTTTTTCAGTCTGTCCAGAATCAAGTACCAGCGCCCGCCTGCAGGGGGAGCAGAAGGACACAACATCATGAAACGGATTCCTGTGCAGCTGCTCAGAGAGAAGTTTTCCCCGACTCAAATCAGCAAACCTAAAATCACTGTGATATTAAGCAACAAACCTGTTGCACCAAAAAGAACACCTCCGGACCCCTCTCTTACACAGTTTGTCAGGACGCAGCTCGGGAGTGTTTTATCTCATAAAGCAGATTTGAATCCTCGTAACTTAAGAGACAAACATCCACCACAGGAACAGCCTCTGTGTTTAAAGACTAAAGTCCCTCCGATTTCAATACCTGCTACTACATGTCAAAGGTCAGAAACACATCCAGGTCATCTCCCCGTCACGGGGAAGCTGAGGGAAGAGAGTGTTCAGGTCTCTTCTAAAAATCAAGTCCAAGTGGACTCAGCGTCTGAGCTCCCTCCGCCCATCAACAAGCACATTTCCCCTCCATCAGCCAACCCCTCCTCTGGCTTTAATGTGGTTTATTTTTCACCCGTCAAGCTTGTGAATCAAGTCGTTTCTCCACCGAGCGCTTCTGCCCCGCCCTCGTTTAAACTGCTCCACAACACATCCAATAAGAGTCCATGTGGACCCCCGCCCGCAAGATCTAAGGCGGGTTTAAAGTTGATTTCACGGGTTCCACAAAGGCCCAACAGCCCCATCAGATGGAAGATTGAAGAAGAGGAGAACTCGACCCCTCCAGTTCCTCCCTCGTCTTCAGTCGCTTCGGAGATTCTCCGGGCTGTGGCGGAGAGAGAGAGGGCGTGCAAGCAGCCGGAAGTCATTCAAAAGTTTGTTTCTCCCTCGAGTCGGGGAGGACGAGGAGAAGAAGACGCCCTGGTCCTGTGCAACGGGAAAGTCTTCAAAAAGCAAAGCAATACATTTAAAAACATAAAGAGTGAGTCGTCTACAACAGCAGCAAAAGTCTACGTTTTCAACAAAACAAAAGTGTCTTCTTCTCCTCAAAAATCCCCGCCGACAGCTGCACCTCCCAGAAAGCTGCTCTACCAATTCATCATCCCGCGTAAGTCGCATGAAGTCATCGACCTTTGTGACGAGTGCGATCAGGATGACAAGAGTCAGCGAGCGGCATCACAGCTGACCTATCCCGATGAAGACAACGTCCTCTTTAAGTTGTACTCGCCACCCAAATCTGAGCCTGAAGATTTGTCTCAGAAGACACAAACTCCAAAGTCTCCTGTGAAGGACGCAGAGCGGGCGAGCACGGGAGGCGACGGAGGAGGAGAGAGAGAAAAGATCGCAAATCCTTCACGTGTTTGCGGCGCAGTCGGGGCAAATACTGATGAAGGCTCGGGCGCCAAAAGTCAGCCGAGCACCTCCATCCAGCGGGTGGAGTGTACGGACGATACTTTGACCTCTGACAGCGGCAGCTCATGGTCCACAGAGATGGAGTCCTGGAACGAGGAGGTGAGAAACACTTTAAGACTTTTTAATACCCGGGAGTCGTGTCACATCCTGCACACACAATTTATATTCTTCAGTTAATCAGATATCGTGATCTGTTGTGAGTTAGGCTGGCGTTTCAAACTCGAATGACCATATTGTGGTTTGTCTTCAGGACACTTCAAGACACTCGTGTTGTTGCCATGGTTACACAAGCTGCTCTTCTTCTTCTTCAGTATTCCACTCTGCTCGGGGCTCAGTTGTGTTAATGATCACTGTCACGTTTGTGAGCTGTAAAAGTACAAAACATCCGGTTGGTGATGATGCTTCCCCGGTCTGCTCGCTCTCATTGGCTACTGCAGGAATTCCCATCAGGCAACCCGATGTGGAGTCATGAATATTAAAACATGTTTGATATTTACAAATGCAGATCAAGAAGGCTCTGACTCACCTCACACTTTAGAGATTATTTGGACAAATAATCTGTTACCACAAACCCTGAATCACAACCCAAGATCGTTCAAAACGCTCCTAAAATCGTCTAGTGTGTTTGTGTTTCCCACCCTGTAGTGGGCAGAGCATCTTCACAGATTCAGCTGCACAGTCAGAGCCTGATTAACAAAAGGAATGCACCTCTATGGCGCCTCCTAAACCTGAGCAAACTTAGTCCTCCAGCTGACCGGTAATATATCTCATGATTTAGCTGCTAGCTTGTGTTTTTAGGTTGATGCACATAATGTGTATGTGTATGTGTATGCAAAGAACAAATTTTCCTCTGGGATTAGTAAAGTATTTCTGATTCTGATTCTGTGAGAGAGAGTGAGAGCATTTTTACTGGTGTGTGTGTGTGTCGCCTTTCTGAGTCGTGTATACGAGACATCTGAAATACACAAAGATCTGACTTCAACCTCGGGGCTTGCAGACAATCAGTACATTGTGAGCTGACGTTCTGCCATTACCTTTTATACAACCTTACAGTGTTCTTCCGGCTTTAGCATTCTGACATCAGCATCAGGCTAAATGCACTACCAGATCAGAGCCAGTGTAACATCTGTACTTTTCTTCTTGCAGAGCTCAGTTGATCTCGCATCCCGTCAAATGTCCGACCGTCTGCTCAGACGGATGTTTGGGGTCGCGGCGGACGTGAAGATTTGTCTTCAGAGGATCGACGACGCCTCGGCTGGATGTTTTCCTGTAGAGCTTCACCACGGGGAGTTACACCGGGAACCAGCGAGCAAGATGAGTGAAGAACTTCTTTCTCTGGATCCTTCCAGTCCGCTGGGCAGCGACGGATACAGCGGGTCTCTGAGTGTGAAAAGTGAAGAGGAAGTGTCTGCAGACTGTCACACACATCGTAAACCTCTCCAATGTTCACATTTCAACCCGGCAACAGGACCTCTCTCTGCTGTGAGTGACCCTCAAACCGACACACCGATTAGCTACATGGAGCCCATAGAGGATGAGAGTTTCCTCCACACAAACGGCCCACACAAAGCAGACACCGCTACAGGCACGTGTTCAGACAAACGGAGGATCGGACGAACAAGAAAGCGCACGACTTGTCCGTGCTGCGTCCCCGGGACTCAAAGTCAGGCCGTGAATCTTAATGTCAAACGGGCACTGACGGCAGAGCGGGCGAGAGGAAAGGCTGGAACAAAAACAGCAAGAAAACGTTCAACAACGTCCGTACCGATCGGGTGTCAAAATGCAAAGAAGAAATGTTCAGATTTTCCAGCCGGTCACGGCTCGTGTTCGGCGTCGGCGGACTCTGACGAGCTGAGGTGTAACGAGGAGATCAGACAGCTCAGAGCGCTCCTGAAGGAGAAAGAAGCAGCGTTAGAGCTGATGAGGAAAGCTTCAGCTGACATGAAACATCACTAACAGTAACATTTAAAAACAGACATTCTGCTGTGCAAGTCTAATGTAATGATTGATTCTAAGGGTTTGGGTTTATTTATTTGTTTTAAAGAAACTTTCTGGATCTCTCTGTTTGTGTCGATTGTGGCGCCCCCTGTGGACAAAGCAGCACATCGCATCTATAGGCTGATGTTTTTATGAAAAGGTATAAAGAATGTTTTTAGACTAAAGGAAAATCATGCTGCTTTCTTTTAAAAGTCAAACCGAACACTCACTGTGGCTTTTCTCTGTGGAAAATGTAAACAAAGGCATTTTCGTTAATCGACACGGCGGCAGCAGCACAGAGATTAAAAAAACAAATGATTACAAAGTCTTCTTGCTCCTTGTTTCTTTTTCTTTTAGCTCATAAAGAAGTTAGAAGACATTTTGGTTTATGCACAGTGTCATGATGAACCAAGCTACAACATCAGGTGTTTAAACATGAAGCTGAGGCTGGAGTGTAAAATCCTGCAGTTCCTCGAGTGTCCACTAGAGGCTGGCTGCAGAAGCACAGGAAGTCACATACACACCCATTCTAAAAAGCCTGTTTTTACAGCAGAGATTAACATGTTTACAGCCTGGTTCAAAAAACCAAATAGTTCTGATTAGCTCATGTCTCGTTCAACACACACTGTACGGGGGATGAATGTTTTGATGACTCATCAGTTTTGATTTGATGAAGGATAAGAGTTATTCACAATAAGGCGTGTAGCTGACCTGATTGACAGGTGGGCGTGGTGTAATGGTTTGTCAGGAGGTTTAAAACCCGCCTCAGCTCCAGCTCTCAGCCTGTCGTTAGGTTGACTGAAAGTTAGACTGAGACAGCATTTCCAGCATGGAGACCACCATTGATGGGACTCCAGCGCCCCCTGCAGGAACAGATGGGTGACCTCACTCAGGCTTTGTACATAAACATTTACAGTCCATGGAATTAACCTGGAAGATGCAATATTACAGCTCTAAGTTTCAAAGTAAAATATGAACAAAAGCAAACAGAACATGTGGTTAATTAAAACATAAATTCAGTGCATCATCTCCAGGAGGTCAAAAATAAACAAAGAACAAGAGGTAAAAAAAAGAATATTTGAGACGCTGGAGAGAGGTTCAGACATCGTGAGTGGATCCACACTCCTGACCACGTGGTGGCGGTAATACACCAGTTCGTTGTTTGTCAACCGCCGATTAAACAGGAGAAGAAGAAGAAGCGCGCGGACCAAACCGGAAGTTGTGATTTGCTGGGAAACGAAAATGCAACTACAGATGAATTACTTCAGCTGTTGTGTTTGAGGCTCAGCAGACGTGTGTAAGGTATGTACCAAATTATTTGTACGATATTTATGGTTACAAAGAAACTCACAACTTCAGTTTTTGTTGGCAGGTTGATGGTGAAGATATTTACGAGCTTCTTAGTCGAACATCTGACGAACAGACAGAGCCGAGTGTCTGTCCGAACGTGTCGGCTAACCTCATTAAAATGTTGAATTATTTGACATTTTCAGAGCAGGTTTAGTAATAAAACAGAACCCTGAAGACACATTGGTTCTCACACAGTGTCTACATTTGTCTCCAGTGTTAAAGAGGACTTATTCTCTTCCTTTTCAAGCTTTTCAAACAGTCCCCTGTGGTCAAAATGAAACATCTGTGCTGTGCTTTGGTCAAAATAAAACATGAATCAAGCACCAGAGGAGGTTTGTGACCCTGTATAAACCAGCTCTATCAGAACGCTCCGTTTTGGTGTGTGTCTCTTTAAATCCAATGCATTTAAAAAGAAACATTAAGTCATTTCCTGTTTTAACTATGAGGTGACAGCACGGGGGGGGGGGGGGGGCGCTCTGCAATATGACCATTTATATTTGTCTTTTGGTTTTTGAATTATGATTGAAAAATTTAAATACGTAAAAAATGTCTCCCTCCTCTCTGACGGACTCTAACCCTGTTCACAGGTAAATACACAGAACATGGATCTCCTTGTGAGACATGAAATCTACATCCCAGAAGATGCCGAGGTGAAAAGCATCCCTCTCAGTAGTTTACCAAACTCAGTGCTGAAGCAAATGGGCCTCTCTGGGTCCGACCCCGACGGCTCCAGGAGGCTCACGGACTCCGCTGTGGGTGTATGGATCTGTCCTGCAGTCCTCCGACAAAAAGGCCTGAAGCGAACCTCCAACCAAGGGAACCCTCAGTTAGAAAGTATGTCCTCGAAGATAGCCAAAGAGTTTCGGGGCTCGCCAGGACCGTTCAAAGTGTCTTTTGTCTCCTCCAACAAAGCGGCTCACGAGGCGTTGAACGAAGCCTTACATGGAGACACGTTAACCCCCCGCCCCCCCGCCTTGCCTCCAGGCTTAGCGCCAAAGACCTACCAAGTGGCCGTCATCATCTATCAGGGGTGCGTTTACCTGTCCATCAGGGAGCGCGGTCGATGCAAGTGTCCAGGAGAGACAAAAGATCCACAGCCGGCTTCCAAAGCGGCCATTCTTTCACCACAGCCGGCTTCCAAAGCAGCCATTCCTTCAGCACAGCTGGCTTCCAAAGCGGCCATTCCTTCAGCGTCAGACGCGTCCTCTAACATCCAGAAGAAGGTAAGAGGACTCATCAGATATACGAGCATCACAGCAACAGACGAGTTCAAAACTTAGAAGAACATGGCAGGTTCTTTTCTAAGTGTAGCTTCATCCCTGGAGGTAAAAGCAGAAACGGACAAGAGTTTGCAGCCTCAAGCCGTGGTCAGACAAAAGGATCACATAATAAAATGGCATTAAATATTTGAAATTTGCATTAAAAAGGCATAAAATAGTAGTGAAACATAACCCTATAGATGCCTGTTCAAATTGCTAAAGTGAAGAAGTACGTTTTAAGCTTACTTTTAAAAATATTTAGTGAGCTAGCATCCCTGATATCTAATGGTAATGTGTTCCATATCTTTGGTGCGTAATTAGCAAAAGCTGAATCTCCGATTTTCTTTTGGCTGTTGCTGGGAACCTTCAGTAGGCTCAGGAATAGAATAGAATAGAATTACTTTATTGATCCCTAACTGGGAAATGTGGTGTTACAGCAGCAGGTTATCCAACACACAATATTAGCAAATTTAAACACAATATAATATTAAATACAAAGTAAATAAGCACAAAAAATATCAAAACTAAGAATGGGAATATATACAACCAGGATTTAACTAAGCATCACTAGTTACTAGTCTTAATTAAGAGAAGATTAAATACAACATACTTTGCTGGAGGTAGATGTAAATGTGCATAAACAGTATTGACATAGGGAGCTGTGCAATCAGTCAACGGGAGTCTGGTTATAGTCGATCCGGCAGGAGTCTGGTTTCAGGACCCATCGGCGTGTGGTGTGTCATAGTGAACGACAATCCACGCCACATCAGGGACGCCTCACGACATCCCCACACTTGTTTGATTTTTGTCTCCCCATCACATCAGTGACCCTGACCAATGAGAGCCCAGAGCGCTCTGCACGTGCAGAAGTCCCAAGCGTAAACAAACAGAATGATGAAGTTGGTGCTGTGAGATGGAACTATGAGACATGTTTGGCGCTTTTGTGCGAAACTTTTTTAATTGTTTTAGTGCAATTCATGTTTCCACCTCCTAGGGGGAGCTAGAGGGACTCACCTGGTTTTACTCTCTGAAAATGGCATCACCCACACAAAGAGCACATCTCTCATGTTTTTAACCGTACAGCAGACATTTGTTTGATTATTTATGCTCTCTAATATTTAATTGTGAATTGTTTATCCTCCCCGCAGCGCCCCGCCCCCCAGGCTTCTCTTAAACCACTTAAGAAGAGACTGCGCATCACTTTGACCCCCAGGTCGAAATTCCCAAGGAATCCTGTCAAAACACCCAACACCACCACCACCACCACCACCACCACAGAGCAGGTAACTAAAAGAATAATTAAGACGTTGATTGTTGGGGAGATTTACTAATACGGCCTGTGGCTCAGTAAGTAGTCTGCCGCCTCTCAACTGGAAGGTCGAGGGTTTGATCCTCAGCTCCTGCAGCCACAGGTCTGATGTGTCACAAGACACTAAACCCCAAGTTGGTCCTGCTGCTTTGTTGGTGGCTTGTGAATAAATGAGTTCATACTGATCCTCTGCCATCAGTGTGTGAATGTTCTTCATCTTTTAAGCCCATGTCGTACCACTGCAGACCCCTCCCGTCCAGCAGGACATCAGTGACAGTCCTCTTGAAATTCTCTAGTTTTTTTAATTTAAGAGTGCATGTGTGAAAATAGTTAATAGCTAAGTGTATCTTCAGATTCAGATTTTTTTATTGTCCCACACGGGGAAATTTGCATTGCAACAGGAGCACACAGAAGACAAGAAACACAAGGACAACATCACCATAAAACAAAAAAATCAGACGACACAGCAAAATATAAAACCAAATAAAACAGCGCAATGAAATCAGTCAAGAGCCTGTACCAGAATGGAACAGTGGAGGTGTGCAACAAATAGAATGGCTGTAGCTCAGTTGGTAGAGTCATCGCCTCTCAACCAGAAGGTTGAGGGTTCGATCCCCAGCTGATGTCTTAATGTGTCCTTATTTGCCAATGTCCACATTGCTCCCGCTGCTTCGATGGCAGTGTATGAATGGATTAATCTCTGATGTACATCGCTTTGGATAAAAGCATCTGCTAAGTGAATTGTATAACAAATAGCAAATTGTTGTTTAACATATTAATTGCACTTGGTTCTTCTCTTGTCTCCAAATATGATCAAAATATAACTCAGAAACAACAAAAAGGTTACGGCCAAGATGCCAAACCTGAGACTTTAAAACATCAGTTCACAGAGCAGGTGTTATTTAGGTGTAAAATAAACGAGCTCATTGTGATGAAGCTGCTTTGTGTGTCCTCCAGAAGCCGCTGAACGGCAACACAACTGACCGGAATCTCATCAACAGTAAAGCAGCACACAGTGAACACAGAAAGGATGTGACACACAGCAGAAGGGGAGGTTCCTCACCCCCGACTGCACCTTCAGTCCCCCAGTCCACTGATGGAGCGCACAGACCAGACAACCCTGAAGCTGACGAGAAGCAGCGTGCAGCGGACACAGCAGACCGGGTTCAACAGGAGACCCCCTCTGACAGTGAGACCCAGGAGCCGGGCAGTGACCGAGCTCAGAGCTCCAGTCAGAACAATAACACGGATGTGGAAATAGAGCTGGGCAGTCAGAGGTTGAGCTGGAGAGAGTCTCAGGGTGCCTCCGCTCCTCTGCTGCTGCAGGAGTGTGACTTTAAGGAGCTGGCTCAGGAGGAGGAGATCGCTATCGCTAAAGCGCGGCTCCTACAGAGTGAAGCCGCTCTGAAAAACCTGAACTCGTCAAAGTGACAGAAAAAATACAAATCAAGGCGTGTGTAGCAGCACATTTTTGCTTTTTTTTTATTTTTGCTAAATTAATGTTTAGACTCCGGGGTCCAAGTTTTTGTTTGGTGATCACTTCAATTCAGTTTCTGCAAAAATTTGCAATAAAGAAATTATTGAGTTCAGTCGCCGCGTCTTTTACTTCCTGTTTGAAAACAAAAAATAAACTTCATTCATGCAGCACTTGTCTTCACAAGGTTACATTGATATAAAGGAAAAGGATTAAAAAAAAGACTTGAGTTGGGGCGTCGGTGGTGTAGTGCTTGGTGCGGGCGCCCCGTGTGCGGGGGCTGTTGTCCTACAGGTGGTTGGCCCGGGTTCAGGTCTGACCTTTGACCCCTTTCCCGCGTGTTGTTCCTCACTCTCTCCCTCTCTGTTCTTTTTGACTCTTTCCTCCGTCTTGTCTCTCAAATGAAGACAAAACGCCCCCAAAATACGATCTTAAAAAAACACGAGTTTAAAGACGAATACAGATCGCAGATCATTTAAGAATTCCTAAAACGTTCAAATGAAGCGTGTGAGAAAGTCAGTGTGTTTATGAGTGATGACACAATACAAACAGATACTGAAGGCGTCTCCTCTCAGTGTAAATAAAAACCCTCTAAGATGAACATGAAGCTAATTGTGACGATTCAAACCGTCATGAAGGAGGATTCAGTGCTGTAGCTGTTGCATAGTTTCAGGTGTGTTATGAAGGCGCTATTTGTGACCTGGTACGCACGCGTTTGAGTCGGTCCCAGCCTTCAGAAAAGAATATCATGTTTGTGATTGTGACAAATCTCCAGCGAGAACACAACAGGACTTGTTCCCTCTGCTGTGACAGTGTTTGAAATCATCAGATAACGGCTCGGGATGAAACAGTTTGAGGAGCAGAGGGGAGGAAACGTCAAGCTGTGGTCCTCCTCCTCCTCCCCCTCCCCCTCCTCCTCCTCCTCCGTCGTCCTGCATGAATAAAAGTCTGCAGGTCTCCTCGAGTCCGTCCACACAGACAGGATGCACTCCTCATCAGCCCGACCACAAACTCTGAAGGTAAGATCACCATTCACACTTTTTCATTTCTCTGAACGTGGGATCAGGAGGAAGTTTCTGCAGCAGCTGTTTAGTTACAACAACACAACAACAACTTGTTACTGAAGGCTACAAATATTATGTTGTTTCTGAACATTTTCTGGTCGTTGTGTCCTCGCTGGACTTTCCTGTAACATTTAACGACATAACATTTTAGAGGAAACTTTGAAGGAGAGAATTAACAGAAGACGGAGCTCTGACAGTGAAGGGTAGTTAAGATTTTAAACACTGTCAGTCAAAAGAACGTTCAGCTTCAGAACTGCCGTGCTCATGATTTCTGACAGTTTATAACCAAAACCAGAGCCGGTGTTACGCTGAGAAATGCATCCCTGCAGAGAACTGCATGCACCTCACAGGACAATGCACAAATATAGCAGACACAATTTTAACATTACCATGTTTTGCATCCACTCTTAAATCTCCACTACGGACACTTGTGAGTCAAACACTGTGCAGGTCATAATCACACAGGCTGAAGAAAGTCTGCAGGACAATGAGGACAATTCATGTTTATTCAGTGTCAACTTAAATTAAAATAAACACAAACATCAACATTAAAATCATTTTTTTAGTTCTTTACTGCACTAAACTGTTTCCCAAACCGCTTGAACATCAGCAGAAATCCTCCTTCTGTATTCTCATGACTAACTTCAATTAGAAGTTGTACTTCTTGATCACTGTCATGTTTGTGAGCTGTGTTTTTTTTATGTATCTTTGGGAGTGTTTTTAATGTTTTCATCATTTTCAAAGCGGGGGTCCTGACACCGTGGTGGGGGTCACATGTAGGGAAAAGGGGGTGTGGCTGCACAGACTCACATTATTATTCATGTCTTCATGTTGAGCTCTGACAGGCAGAACTGTTGTTGTTGTTGTTGTTGTTTCCTCACAGAGTCTCTTCTTCTTCTCCTTCTCCAGGTGTGGTGTGTCCGGGTGTGCATGTTCTACTCCACCATATGTCTGTCCGGCTGGCCGCTCTCCTCAGAGGCCGCCAGACTCCGCTGTGGAACCGACCTCCTCAGTGACCTCATATTCGTGTGCGGCGATCGGGGAATCTATTTGGGTGAGTCTAGTTTTTTTTTATTTTGCTTACACGAGACCTAAAAAGCTGCTTATGAGATTTTTCTCTGTTGGAGCGACAGGACAGTGGATAGTGTCTGTAAAACAGGGAGAGAGTGTGAGTGGGGAATGATGGGCTGCAAAGGTGCCACAGGTCGAATTCAAACCTCGGCTTGAGTGTACATGAGGCATGCAAACTAACCGCTAGGCCAATGACGCCCCTGAGATTTGAATTTTCATGCACACAAGCAGAAACTGAAGCTTCACTCAGACATCAGATGTACTTTATTTATCCCTGCAGGTGATTGTAAATGTATATTTTTTTTAACAATATGTTTATTGAGTTTTAAACATTTTTCCAAGACACACAATTACAATTAAATAAATTGTAAGGGAAAAAAAATATATATATACACATGCACATATATACACATTTATAAAATAAGGGGGGAAAAGGAAAATATAATAATACAAAATAAAATAAAAATTAATTACAAAATGTTGCAAAATTATTACTGTCAGTATCAAATAAAAATAACCAAAGGGAGTACATTGCCATAGATGATTTGTCAATCACAAATATTCTGCCCGAGAACAGTTTCTGCAAAAATGACCACAATTACAGACATTGCCAACTCTTTACCAGGCAAGCTCAAAATATGTGACAGATCTTTATGCCGAAGAAAATTAATATATAGGCCCCTGATATCGTCAAGTAATTCTTGTTTGTCTTTAAGTGTATATGTTATCTTTTCCAGAGACATTTCATTAAACCATCGTGTAATACTCAGCCTCCCACTGTTTCTCCATGTTAATGCTATTGTTCTTTTAGCATGCAATATGCAGAGGTCTACAAAGACCCGTTCTCTGCGGGTCATATTACGTCATGTTGGGTAGATACCTAGAAGAAAAAACGTAGGTTCTACAACTAATTGAAATGATAAAAACTCCTGCATTACACGTCCAACTTCATCCCAAAATTATTTAATTTTGTAAACGTATATTTTAAAGTTATATACAGATAACTCGCTCTGAAAATATAGTATAAAGTATAATATAAACATTCATTGGCAATCTAATACTGACTGTTGCACGTGTTAGAGTCTGTCTCATATCATGCAGGCTGATATCTATCAGGCTCTGCTTCTTACATAACGAGAGAGGAAATAATTAAAAACACAAGCTCTAAATACTGAACTTCTATCTTGTTTGAGCAGAAACGCAGATTAATAATATTCTCTCCGATGTAGATGTTATTAAATATGACAAAGAAAGCAGATTGTAATGAATGTTATCGAGGTTATTCTACCCTGAGGGTGAAATCTTTACTCTGCAGCGGAGGGGCCACAGATATCTCAGATATGGTCACGGTCAAGGTGTCCACATGAACACACGGCGGTAACTGAGAGCGAGTTATCAACCCCTCCAACAACAAACACATCCCGACCAGTCACAACAATATTCATCCGCACTGCAGGGCGGAGCCAAAAAACCTTTAACTCCAACAAAATCTCATTTAAAATCGATTTTGATCACCGCGGTTCAGCTTTAAACACAAATCTGTAACATCCTACAGGAAGACAGGTGCAGCCGTCTCACCTTCTTTCTCTTAGAGATTTACCCACAAAGCCCTTTCACTCAGTAACTTTTCCCCCCGCTCTGACCAAGGCCGACTCCTCCGTGTGCTATCAGAGCGCCCGGGCTGTTAATCCTCCAACATGGCGGCGCACTCCCTGTACACAGCGCCTCGGTGTGTGATAGCTTTGTTTTAAAAACGCTGCTCATATAAGAACGCAGCAGAGCTTCATATTCATGACAAATTATCACTTCAGTGTTTGGATGAATTTAGTATCCACGGTAACCCGCACCCCCCCTCGCTTTTGTGCAGGTGTGAAAACTTTAAAACAGGGGAACATGATTCAGAAGCTTCACAAAGGATACTTAGATGTGTGGACTTAGGGAGTCCTGACATTTTGATTGGTGGACGACCTCTACTTACACAGCAGATAATTGCAAATAGGTCGAGGGAAGACACTTGATGTCCCCTTTAATGTGCATACATTCATTGTGCATTATTAAGTAAAACATTTTTAATATTTCTGTCTCACCCTCCATGTTTTCATTTGAGTGTCTTCACCAAGCTCTAAAGAAAGACAGAGTCTGATATCTGATGTTATAACTTATCATTTAGTATTTGCCTACTTGCACATAGCTCTGCACATATATAGATTTATTTCTCGTTTACTGCACATAGTTCTGTTTACATCTGTTAGTCCGATCACTGTCTACTTATATCTACTCTTTTTATATTTTGTATTTTAAGTTAAGTTTAAACTTTAAGTTGTATTTAAATTGACACTTTATATTTAGGTTTAAAATGTCTCGTCTACTTCCACTGTTGTTAATGTACTGCTCTGTGTGCCTTTGAATTGCCCCCCCAGGGACAAATAAAGTTTTTTTGAATTGAATTGAATTGACGTTTCCCTCTCTGCAGGCAAGGGGACGTGGTCCGGTTACGGCGCTCGGCCCCGGGGAAAGGGGATCGCCGACAAGTGCTGTGGACCTTCAGGCTGTGAACTTCAGCACCTGGAGTTGTACTGCGCCAAACCAAAGAGCCCACCGCACACCACAGCGTATCCATCCACAACAACAACAACAACAACGACAACAACGACAGCAGCTCCTCAAACAACCAAAGAGCCGGACACGGTAAGACCCCGACCTCATCAACACCGCTCGGTCTTTTAACCTTTAGAGGAGTCAGGGCTGTCAAATGCATCTCTGAAACGTGGGGGCAAGTTGAGTGGGATGAGAAGTTTTGTATTAATAACAGATGTATACACTACAGGCCGGGGTTTGTGGGCTGTAGTGTTTCTGTCAGCTTTAGAATCAGTGGATGTGTGCAGAAGATCCAGGGAGGAGGCAGAACCAATTGAAACAGACCAAACCTGACATGCATCAGTAAATGTCCACACAAAGAGAGACCAGATCTGAAAGTGGCCACAAGACCGCATGTCAATAAAGAGTGACCCTCCAATGTTAAAATGTAGCCCAACACTTGAGTCTGATCTCAAGTCTTTATTGGTTTTTAAAGCAGCAAAGAAGGTTTTTCAGGATGTTTCAGTTTGCTTACTTAACTTTAACCAAAGGCGGACACTCTGCCGGTTTTTAAAAGCATGCCGCGTTCAGGGAGCAAAAGATAAGCAACAGGCTGACCTTAGGCTTCAGGCGGCCATGTTGCTATCTTAACAATAACACTGTCTTTGTTAGACGGTGGTTAGCCTCTACTTGGAGGCTAAAGACTTCTTGGACCTGGTTACTTCCAAATTTGTTGCTGTTTTTGGTTTTATCTACGTCAGCTGTGAACTTCTTCAACATCTTCTTTCAGTTAGCTTCTAGCTTCAGTTTGTTGACGCACAAAGTAGTCCTGACAACTCACTAATAAATAGACATCAACTCAGTTCTTCTTCTTCTGCAATCTTAAAGGAGCAGTATGTAACTCTGACACCTAGAGTTTAAAATGGGTACTGCAGTTCAAATTCAAAACACTGGAGAGATGTAATCACATAATTTAAGAAGAAGGGCAAGATGTTTGGGTAAAATAAGGACTTACACATGTATAGGACAGGGTCGGGAAAGAGATGAAATGTACTGCGTTGTCCACAAGGGGCGCCAAAGTCTACATGAACCAAAAGTTCCTCACAAGAGTTTCCATTCCAGCTAGCATAAAGAGCTGAAATCTGTTTTGAAATTTTTTAATTTATGCATTTAAAGACTGAGTGCTGTTTTAAATGCAAAGATATTTTCCGGCAGAACATATTAAAACAATAAATTGTGAGAGTTGTGACTTCTAACCTGAAGTAAACCCATAATAAAGTCGAGATCTGGGATAAATCCGAGCCCTCACTAAGGGCCAAGGCTACCTGCTCCAGCCAAACTCCCTGTCCTTGAATCTTCTCTTTATCCTCTTTGTCTCGCAGGCACAGCAGCTGTTCCAAACGCTTTATCAGAAGAGACTTGTGGAGCACCTCGGGGCTCCCAACAGCCCCAAAAGAGACGCGTACAGAAAGAAAACAAAGACTTCTTCCAGAGGGAAAAGCAAAGCTTCATCGTCACGCAGGAGGACGAGCACGACCAGCGTGTCTTCTTCACCCTCCAGGAGTCCTCTTGAAAGACCGACCAGATCTGGATCCTGACTTCAAACTGGATCTTTGTAAGGACTGGACTTATCGCAGCAGGTCTCAAAAGACGAGACGCTTACAGCCGAAATACAAACTCAGAGAAACTCTCCTCTAAAGTCGGCATCACAAATACATTTGGAAGGAAACAAAAAGCGGCCATATTGGAGGTCTGATCCCCGCCTCTGGATTACTTGCTCTTTGGTTCTCAGTGTAATCTCTCACTGAGGCGTTCTGTTATCTGACTTTAAGTAGCAACGCTTGTACGATACGACTCTCTAACGATGTTCCATAAAGACTGTTAAATAATGAACAACCTAGAATATCACAATGTTTTCTATCCCAGTGCTGATGTGGAAAAACAGGCCGGACTCTTGCTGCTGATGCTTTTGTGGGAACACAAAAAGTCTCTTCAATCCTGCAGCACATCTCGCTACAATCCAAAAAATCTATTAACTAAAACTAGCACAAAGTGACTCCACCTACTCTCCTGCATTAAACACGCTCATACAGTCAGCACGAGCTGCGTTCATCAGCAGCTACGATGCGTCCTTTACTCAAGTGTCCACATGACGACAAAGACATGGTGTCGTCCATGATGCAGGGCGGTTAACACGACCTGCAGAGAAAAGAAGATGACCACAAGGTTTCCAAGCTATGGTCTTTGCAGAAGCATGAATGTTACACTTTTAGTGTCAGTGTAGGCTTGTCTGCGTTCCCTTGCTGCTGTTTGTAGGCATTCCATAAGTCCTTGAGTCCTTGAGTCCTTGATTCCTTGAGTCCTGCAGGAAGTGACGCAAGGTGACAGCAGCAGGTGCAGCGTGATAACACGCCCCCTCTGCAGGTTAGCGTGCTAATAAAACACGTAGCTAATGGTATCAGTCCCTCGGGTAGTTTTGTTCATGAGACGTTTGTTCTCCCTAACGGTGACCACATCATGCAGGCGTTTAATATTCTTCTGAGTGACATCACGTCTCGTTTTCTCCTTCGTGGAACAGAACCCGGTATCATCAAGTCTCAAACTGACTTTCATGATAATCTGAACGTAACTTACTGCAGGGTGGTTTCTTTTGTTTCTGATGTATTTAAAGAACTAACTGTGTATTTTTTTGTAACATGTTTTAACCCTTTAAGGTTGTTGTGATGAAACGGTTTCTTTGCATTTATTTAAGAACATTAACATTCCTTTAAATGTCGTGTAGCTCCTCTGTTCACTTTTTCTTTTAGCTCCTTTTTGGGTCTCCTCCATCTCCTCCTTCCAGTGCCTGGATGTTTAGCTGCTAAATTCACTTTTTTGCATCGTATTTATTTATTTGAAACATATCTTAAAAAGAACAAAGTAGAACATAAAGCGACCAGCTCCGTCAGCGTACTTCCTGTAAGGACTGATTCATGCAGTACAGTTTGTTTTGTAAATGTTCGCATCCTGACGTCCTGTGATGTGAACTTTGTTTGCTGAAGATGTTTTCTAACCTGTTGTTGTTTTTGTTGTTGTATTTATAATTTACGTAAATGTGAAGCCTGTAACGTTTAAAAACACTTTATTCTGCATTTCTTGAGACATGTTTTTGAGCACTTTTTAACCTCCTGTAGCTGGACAGCGTGCGTTTGTGGAGAAAGATCTTCATGAGTTTGTGCCGTCTGATTGTTGAGACGCCTGCTCCACTTTCAGTGTTTTTTATCTGAAGTGTGATGTTTCTTATTTTATATTTTGTTTCTGAAGTATTTTTCATAAAACACTTTGAATGCATTCGCTATTTATTTCACTCTTTGAGAAAATATGACTTTAATAAATATTTAAACTTCATAACTGTTTGTGACGTTCATTTTGTAATCGCTGGATTTTCAGTTTCTGCAGCTCTTCTTCTTCTTCTTTCTTCTTCTCTCAACTGTGTGTTTGTTTTAAATTCCAGAAGCTCGCATCAATATTGAACACATCTTTTATTGTGGCTTCAGTGTCATCATAAACAGCTGACTCACTTTACTCTGGCATAAAAGCAGTTGTCCTTCAGAGGCCGCTCGTAGAGTCCTGAAGGCCGTCTCAGATCTGCGCTGAGCCCCGATAATGAGAACTACTCCTCTGCTTAATCAGCAGTAAAGTGGACAGTGTGTTAAAGGTAACCAGAGTTCAGGGGTCCCTGTGATGTTTTCTGAAGCGTGCTAACTTAACGCTGGAATGCAGCAGAAGTTCCAACCAGCCTGCTCACAGCTGTGCGGGTGCAGAGCAGATTTAGGACAGGATATTTGGGAGGATTGGAGAGGGACACGGTCAGGACTGCAGGGCAGAGGTGGCACAGCTGATTCTTCAGGCTGCAACATGGAAGTCTGCAGAAGATGAGTGCAATCAAATCCTTTTGTTTACATTTCAAACTGCAATCACTGATAACTGCTCGTATTAATGTAGAAGTGTAGAATGTAGAAGTGCAGAAGGCTGTGTGCATTATAATACACTCGGGCATGTCCAGACTTTTAGACTGGGGGGGTGGGGGGTAAGTGGAGGCAAGTGGAGGCGCTGACTCTTTCAGGGGTGGCCTGAACATGCAAACTCCACACAGAGAGGCTCCTGTCAGACGGGGAATCGAACCAGGAAAGGCCGTGCATTAATTGTTATACAAAACAACAAAAACACAATTCGATCACTATAAACTCAGTGTAACACATTTCACTGGTCTTTAGTCCAAAACAAACTAACTGACTGTTCACTCCATCACGTCCAGGTCACATTTGGTATGTTCCCTTTCCCCCAAAGATCCCATCGTTTGTAAATTTTGAGACCGGTAAAAGAGTTTCACATCTTGTAATTGTGTTTTATAAGTCTTACATTTCTTTTGTCTTTGGTTAAAGAGTTTTGCTTTTGTCATTTTGTTTTTTATAAAATGTTTAAATGTTTTCCAAAATGGAAATTTGGCTCAAGCTTTACAAAACCTCTCGAACCCTGTGACGGGTCTCTTCTCAGGCTGGAAGCCGATTCTGGCCTTTTGGACTCCACAACAAAGTAACAGCTGTTCACCGTGAGCTCGATAAGATCCAGCAGGGAGAGATTTCTCCTTGTGGCGGCTAACGTCACAGTCTGATAGTGATTCACTCCCATCTCCTCCTGTGCAGCGCTCGTCTAAAGCCCCCCCTCCAATCCTCCCCCACTCCCCCCCACCTCCAATTCTCATGGCCGTGAGCGAGCTGTTGTTGTCGGCCTGAAAAGTTAAACGTAACACTGGAAACATTTTCAACACGATACAACTTCCACGACGTTGACAAAAATACAGTAGCTGTTTTCTGAAGTGTCACCGACGCTGGATTTACACGATGTGCAGAAACATTTACATTTGCTGCTTTTCTGCAGCGACCGCTCTTTTTCTATCGTCTGTTTCAGCAGAAAGTGTCGAGTTAAAGGTACAAACACACCTTTCATGCAGACTTCAAGGTTTCCTTTTTTTATGTGATTCTGACCGAGATGCATTCGCTGTTATCGCTACACAAAGACGATGATTAAACAGTCAGAGAGTCTGTTATTATAAAGCATGAACTCTCACCTACAGGGCCCCGGCTGCTGTCACTCACCTGGTGAAATGACATCAAGGCTTTAGGTTATGCAGAATCAATGGTATCAGCTACCACCTCATCCAGAAACTCATTTTTTTTATGACTTAATTATCCAGCTAATGAATTAGCCTTGTGCACACACTTTATACATTTGATAACTTTGTTTTTTGCTAACCCCTCGCTCCTCTGCAGCTCCCGTCTCTAATGCAAATATTGACACTTCTGCCTCTTAGCAAACAACATCATGTCAAACTGCAGGCTTCACAACAGCTGTCCACTCTTTGTATCGTCTGTAGAAGAGTATACAACTCTTGTGTAACGTCGTATTTTGATGTCACTAAGTCCCAGAAACACCAAACAAACATCTGAATTTAGCACAGAAGAATGCCAAATGTAAAACGGCAGAGTCATGTTTATTACTATTGTTACGGCTGTATGTTTCTCCTGTGCTGTTTGTCCCTTCTCACTTCCTGTTGTCTCCAGCCCAGGTGAAGCCACTAATTGCACAACGAGGCGCACCTGGCCTCAGAGCTGGCTGCAGGAAAAGGAGGCATTTGGAGTTGGGACTGCTGTGCCTCTCAATATAAGAATAATAATAATAATAATAAACTTTATTTATAAAGCACTTATCAAAACCAACTTCACAAAGTGCTTTACAGAAAAAATAATAAATCCCAACAGTCAAATACACAACAATAAAATCCTATTAAAAGCATGAAAAATAAAACAACAGTGCAGCAATCATCCAATTAACAAAGAAAAGAGAAACAACCGAGACAAAGATTGGCTAAAGTTAACAGTAAAACAAATAAAACATCATGGATGAAATAAGGATTATAAGAAGGTACTTACGATAAAAATGTGTTTCTAAAAGTGATTTAAAAGAAGATACTGATGTAGCCAGTCTGAGATCCTCAGGCAGGTCGTTCAAGTCGGGGATTGTCTGTTGTGTTTTGTCGTTAGTTTTGATCTTTGTTATCGTTTAGTTTGTTGTAATAGTAATAAATCCCTTTGTCTTGACTTTTGTTAAGGTGTTTAATGTGTTTTACTGGGTTAATTTGTCGATTGTTGTTAGCCCCATAGGGCCGCTTTCTGGTCGAGCGTAACACTATGCACATCTGTCTGCACGTGTAGATCACCTTTCTAAAGCATGCACATCAGCCTGTATTGCGCGTGCACATGTGTGGTCTGGTGAGTCTTGAATCTATGCTAGTGTACCTACACACTTAGCCTGACGTGCGCCTCCTCAATTGTATAACTACACACCGAAGCAATGCAACCCTGATAGACTGTGATTGGTCCACTGCGTCGCATCGTATTTCCTTTATTTACAACATTTCCAGCATTCCCGCCACCGTTTTCAAAACTCTGCCAAAGGAGGAACGCTCCAAGCCTGTAAGATCAACCGCTGCTCAAGATTCATTAGCGGGAGCGCCGATAGCCTAGCTGTTACATCTCCGACCCGGTGTTTACGCCGTCTGATTTATGTTGAGCTCCCTCTAGAGGAATCCTGCAGTAACACGCGTTGTGTGTGAACATTTACGTTCATTATATATTTGATCCTTAAGCCTCGTCATGTGGCAAAGCTCGTAAACTGATGGGAGTGAAACTGAGATTTGTTAATGTGTCAGTAAAATGTTTTTGGCTTCACTTCAAGATCATGCAAATCTGAAATCTGAGACTTACAGTTAAACGCGATGAACCCAAACACTGAATCTTTCTCTGACTTCTCTTTCTGCTGAGCTTGCACTAAAAGGCTCTCCTGCTTTCTGTTTTGATTCGAGCAGAGTCTCCACAGGTGGATTCTCCTCTGCCTCTCTGTGTCCTATCTCTCCGTCAAGGCTGCTGCAGGATCTGAATGCTCCCTTTTTTTATCAGCAGGTGTGTACCTGCAGCACAGCAGCTGCTGACACAGAAAACAAGCGGCAGAAAGAAAAACACCAATGTCTGACAAAATGACTTACAATACAAACATTTACAAATGACAGTTCAGACTTTGTTTGTTTTTTTAAATCAAAATAAATGTGTTCACAGCAAAAGCCTGTTGAGCTTCTGTTGTTAAACACACGATTACATAACTTCTCTTTACGCTCAGTTTGATTTACCGTTCTCTCTCTAACTTTGTAGAGCTTTTCAGGCTTTGTTTCTTTGTTTTTGCCCCCTTAATTATTGTTTAGAGATTTATTTTTGGGGCTTGTTATGTCTTCATTGGAGAGACAGGACGAAGAGAGAGAGATAGAGAGAGAGAGTAAGCCAATTACACCCAACCTATTATCCAGTATAGCAATGGACTACAGATGGAATGTAGCTTTCAGCCAAATCTGGTGCGCCCATCTCTTTGTTTATTGCAAACATTTAATGTAAGTGCACATTGTCCTTTTAAATAGACAAACTAAACTAAGTAGCGTGTGGGAATGTGGGAACAAAGGGTTTGATTTTGGTTAATTTTGAGAATTTTTTTTTGAAAAATCTTAGAAATGTGGGAACATAGGGCTGACCCCGTGCAAACTAACCACTAGTCCAGTGGTTCTCAACTGGTGGGTTGGGACCCAAAAGTAGGTCTTGGAGCTGTTTTCAATGGGTCGCGACGCGTGTGTCAAAAAGTCTGTAATGCACTTTTTAAACATGTTTTTTGGTTTAACTTCTCGCTTCAGTGACATGTTTTGTACCGACTGAGATCCAAACTGCACAATTTTTCAGTAAACAAATCTGATTTTCGAAAAAATATCAGAAATTTCTGTCGCTGTTTTTCATAAAGGAGTTAGAGTTGGGTCCTGAGGATTGACACTGCACTAGTCCACCAGCGCCCCAGTGCCCCCTATTCACACATCACACCCTGAATACACACGCAACATAATAAAATAATACAGGTAAAGGTGGAAGTGGAGATTTCATCTTAAAATGTCTGTTTCTAAATAAGTTGGAACGTCTAATGATGCTTAACAGGTAAGATTTTACAGATGATTTTTTTCTGAGGATATCTTGAAATAATTTGCTTCCTGGTCTTATTCAGGTAAACATGGCTTCCATAAGTAATGAGATTTATTTTTTAGTAGTAATGAGACCTCTACATGTACTAAGATGTGAGTTTTTGCAGTGTAGTTTAAATGTTTGCACATCACACACGACTCACATCCAGAATTCATCGTGGGTAACTCCACCATGTTCTTTGTCTTTCGTGCACTTTTTTAAATTTATCATAAAAACGATTGAATTTAAATCTCCTGCGTGGTCAC